ATATACTCTACTGTCATATATAACTAAGTTATACTCCATGTATATATAACATGTCAAAAAACACTCTACTTTCATATATAACTAAAAAGAACAAATTGAAAAAAAAATAGTGAAAGGTATCTGGTTCTATAGGATTTCCGCCTCACCTGTATTAGGGACACTGTTCAACTTAACTGCATATGTAATGAACAAATGCATCCAATCAGAAATAAAAACCTGATTAGAAGCAGAAACGTCAAATGGCAATGGAAGAGAAATAAGCGTGAACTTCTTTTAATCTCTAGCCTCCATCCTCCACACCTCCTCTCCCCACCCCACCTCCTATCATATAAATGCAGTACCTGCCTGTTCCAGTCGCACCAAAACTGGATACTGGATGAAGAGCTTTTTAATGGTCACTAGAAGTGAAGTCCATTCTTCTCTTCTCTCATTCTGCACAACCACTCTGAAAATAGTATTATCAAAAAAGAGATATCAAGCAGTAATTATTAACAGGATATCAAGTCTCTTACAGAGACTCAAGGAAAAAGGAAGACAGGATTCCTAGAGTCAGGGAAATTCACTACATAATAATAAAGTTGACTGTATTCAACAAACATAAAGAAATGTGATGGGGCTGGGGTTGTGGCTCAGGGGAAGAGCGTCCACCTAGCATGTGCAAGGCCCTGGGTTTGATTCTCAGCACCACATAAAAATAAACAAATAAAATAAAGGTACTGTGTGCAACTACAACTAAAAATAAATCTTTTTAAAAATAAATAAATGTGATGATATTAATATTCATATAAATTATGATGACATTAATATTCATATAAATTATCCAGAACCTTGCATACCACTAAGCTATAGCCCCAGTCAATAGTTATATAAATTCTAAATTTTTTTAAATACATGAAAATAAGCCAATTGCAACGGCACACAGCTGTAATCCCAGTAACTCAGGAACTTAGGAGGAGGATCACAACTTCAAGGCCAGCCTTGGCATTAGTAAGACCTCATCTCAAAATAAAAATTTAAAAAATGGGGGCTGAGGGCTGGGGATGTGGCTCAAGTGGTAACGCGCTTGTCTAGCATGTGCAGGGCGCTGGGTTTGATCCTCAACACCACATAAAAATAAAAATAAAGATATTGTGTCCACCTAAAACTAAAAAAAAAAAAAAAAATGGGGGCTGAGGTTGTAGCTTAGTGGTAGAGCACTTGCCTAGCATATGTGAGGTACTGGGTTCAATCCTCAGCACTACATAAAAATAAATAAAATAAAAGTATCCATCTACAACTAAAAAAATTTTTTTTAATTTTTTAAAAATTTAAATGGAGCTGGGAATGTAGCTCAGTAAAGCATCCCTAGATTCAATCCCAGTATTTAAAAAAAAAAAAAGGAAAAAACACATTGATATTATGTCAATGCCTAAAGTTGGGCAGGGATATTAAGATCTATACATACTGTTGAGGGCATGTAAACTTTGATAAATTGCAATTAGGGGGTACATATTAAAAACCTTAAAAAGGAACATCCATATTCCAGATATACCCAACAAATACACCCAGATCAGAAAGCTAGATAACAAAGGGGAGGTTGGGGTTGTGGCTCAGTGGTAGAGCACTCACCTAGCACATGCAAGGCCCTGAGTTCAATCCTCAGCACCACACAAAAATAAATAAATAAAATAAAGGTATTAAAAAAAAAAAAAGAACAAAGGGTTGGGTGGGAATCTGCCTATCGTACACTCTGTATACTTTAAAAATTAGAACCACATGAATGTATTCCAAAAATAATAATAAATTAAAATTCTAAAAATATATATACTTCCCTTTAATCATTTTGTGTGTATGGCTGTGTGTGTGTGTGTGTGTGTGTGTGTGTGTGTGTGTGAGAGAGAGAGAGAGAGAGAGAGAGAGAGAGATTAAACACAAGGCTTTACAGGATAGGCAACCACTAAGCTATATCCCTATCCTTTATATATTTTTTAAATTTATTTGTTTATTGTCAGGCACAGTGGCACTCACCTGTAATCTCAACTCCATAGGCTGAGGCAGAAGCATTACAAGTTCAAGACCAACCTCAACAACTTATCAATACTCTGTCTCAAAATGAAAATTAAAAGGACTGGGATGTATAACTAAAAAGAACAAACTAAAAAAAACCAAAAAATTTTAAAAGGAGGGAGGGGCTGGAGTATAGCTCAGTGGTAGATTGCTTGCCTAAGATGGGTGAGTCCCTAGGTTCCATCCTCAGCACCACATAAAAATAAATAAACAACAACAAACAAATAAATAAAATAAAGGTTAAATTACTTTTTTAAAAAAGGACTAGGGATGTAGCTCAGGGGTAAAGTGCTTCTGAGTTCAATCTCCAGTATCTAGGAAAAAACAGACTGTTCACTGGTAATGACGATAGTAAAAAGTTGGAAATCACCTAAACGTTTAACAATAGTAACCAAAAGAATGTCTAAATAGTAATAAAAAAAAGGTACTATAGAAGTAGAGTGTTTGACATGGAATGATGATAAAGTAAGTAGGAAAATGCAGGTATAAAACAGCAGAGGGGAGCTGGGGTTGTGGCTCAGTGGTAGAGCCCTTGCCTGGCATGTATGAGGCCCTGGGTTCGATCCTCAGGAAAAGAAAACAAAAGAGTCTGTCCAACTACAATTTAAATTTTTTTTAAAAAATTAAAAATAAAACAGTAGGTTAAAAAAAATCAATGGAATGTGTGATTACAACTCTGTGAAAATTAATTTTTGTTTCTATAAACATAGAACACGGATTGATTCACCAAGTTGGTGATGAGTGTATCTAGAAGATAGAATTGAGGGTATTGCTCTTTACTTAACTATATTGTGATTTTCCTAAAATGATCTTGTATCATTTCATTCACTCTGGGAAATGTTGGAAAGACATTTTAATGACATAAAAAAAAATTTAACATAATAATAATATATAACATAAACCATTAGTCTACATTAATAATTCATATTCCTAATTTACATCTCTTATATATTTGTAATTATATTCAAATGCATTAATATTTATCATATAGATATAATTATATATATATATATATATTTTTTTTTTTTTAAGCCAAAAGAGCTCCAGGATCCCACTGAACTGGTATGCAGCATTTATCTGTACGAGGGATGACTGAAGGTGTTGAGAAAGAAGATGGCCCATCACTTTCAGAAAATTCTCCCAAGAGATACACCACCCAAAAAAAGTTCAATAATATTGTTAATAATATTCATTCTGTGTATTAAAACACCAAAACTTATTCCTTTTATTTGGTTGTCACTTTATAACTGGTATGCAATCATCCTCACATACCCTACTTCCCTGTCTTCCCCAGCCTGTGGTAACCACTACTCTGTTCTCTACTTCTATGGGCTCAATTTTTTTAGATTCCAAATATAAGTGATATCATGTGACATCTGTCTTTCGATGCCTGGCTTACTGTACTGAAATAACACACTAAATCCCAGAAAGATATATTATGTTAATTTAAAATAAAGAAAAAGATCAACAAATAATTTAAAATACAATCAGTATTAGGTTGAAGAATACAGTGATTAAAAGCAGACTCTGATTTAGACTGCATCAAACCCAGCATATTTCATTGTCTTTGGGTAAGTTACCTAAACTCTGTGTACAAACTTCTACAACCATAAAATGGGATAAAAGTAACTATTTCATAAGGATGTTGTGTTATTTAACTGAATCAAGTTATATAAAGGCCCTAAAATAGTACCCCATACACGGTAAGTCTGGAATAAACAAAATAATTACCATCTTTTTTGGTGGGGGCGTGGGACCAGGTACCAGGGATTGAACTCAAGGGTACTCAACCTGAGCCACATCGCCAGCCAGCCCCATTTTGTATTTTATTTAGAGACAGGGTCTCACTGAGTTGCTTAGTGCTTCCATTTTGCTGAGGCTGGCTTTGAACTCTCAATCCTCCAGCCTCAGCCTTCCAAGACTCTGGGAATACAGACAGACGACACTGCATCCAGCTTAATTACCAACTTATCATCATCTTTTTTTTATATAAACCTTTTTTTTTTTTAATGTGGTGCTGAGGATCAAACCCAGAGCCTCACACGTGCTAGGCAAGTGCTCTACCGCTGAGTCACAACCCCCAGCCCCTTATCATCATCTTAACAGGACAGTGGAGCTGCTAATATTTTCTACCTTGTGCCATTTTATATTTTTTCAAACTTCCTGTGATAAACCTATGTTATTTTTTAAACTACATAAAATGGTAATCCAAGCTAAGCATAGTGTTACATGCCTATAACCTTAACTATTCAGGAGGCTAACTAAGGCAGGAAGATCACAAATTTAAGGTCAGTCTGGGCAACTTAGTGAGATCCTGTATCAAAATAAAATTTTTAAAAGGCCAGTCTTGATCATTCATGCCTGTAATCCCAGCAATCAGGAGGCTGGGGCTAGAAGACAAAAGTTCATGGCTAGCCTGGGCAACTGAACAAGACTCTAACTCAAAATTTTTTAAATAAATAGATAAATAAGGCTGGGGAAGTAGTTCAGTAGCAGAGTGTCCCTGGATTCAATCCTCAGTACCACAGGGGAAAAGGTTATCTTAAAAATTGCCTAAGGGCTGGGGATATAGCTCAGTTAATAGAGTGTCTGCCTTGTATGCACAAGGCCCTAGGTTCAATCCCTAGCACCACAAAAAAAAAAAAGAAAAAAAAATTGCCTAAAAAGTTTCCACAATTTCTGTCACTCTTTAGAACTTATCAATACTAATTAAAAATAAAATTATAGTTAATAAAGTACTTACACTTTTTTATTTTGCAGTACCAAGGATTAAACCCAGGGGATCTCTACCACTGAGCTACTTACTCAGTGACACTGCAGGGACACCAGATTCACCTCTGTCCTGCTGAGATACATGTGAGGTACAAAGCATCAACGAGACAATCTTACTAATAAAATAAATAAAAAGTGTCTGAGCTATGGCTCAGTGGTTAAGCTCCCTTGAGTTCAATCCTTAGTAACAAACAAACAAACAGGGTTGGGTATGTAATTCAGTAATAAAGCAACCCTAAGTCAAATCTCTAGTACCAAAAAAAATAAAAATAAGTAAGTAAATTTAATTTAAGCTAGGAATGTTGGTGCTCGCCTATAATTCCAGTGATTCAGGATACTGAGGCAGGAGGACAGCAAATTCAAGGCCAGCCTTGGCAATTTAGCAATGCCCTGTCTCAAAATAAAAATAAAAAGAACAGGAGATATAGCTCAGTGGTAAAGTGCCCCTGGCATCAATTCCCAGTCCCCTTGCAATATAAAATAAATTATGATTTTAATAAATTTAATTTTAAAAAATGAAAATAGCTGGAAACAGTGATACATGCCTATAATCCCAGCAACTCAGGAGGGAAGGATCACAAGTTTGAGGCCAGCTTTGGCAAGACCCTATCTCAAAATAAAATTTTAAAAAGAGCTGGGTCTTTAGCTCCAAGGCAGAATGCTCCTGGGTTCAATTTCCAGTATGATAAGCTAATTAAAAAATAAAAACAAAAATGCCCCCTTACTCAGTGACACTGCAGGGACACCAGACTCATCTCTGTCCTGCTGCAATACATGTGAGGTACAAAGCATCAACGAGACAATCTTACTAAAAAAGATTCAACTAAGTCTTCAAAGCAGGGCTTCTCAATGCAGGCACCTTTTTTTTTTTTTTTTTAATTAATACAGCATTATAGTTAAACACAGTAGTTGGGTTTATCCTAATTTGTAATGCATAGAATTTAAGTTCATGTTCCCCACTTTTCTCACTCCTCCTCCCTTCCTGTTCTCCTTCATCTATTCTACTGATCTTCCTTTCATTCTTCTGTTTATTTATTTTTATTGGTATATTTATAGATACACATAGCATGATTTTTTAAATCTTTTCTGCATTTCCTCCCCTTTCCCATCCTTCCTCTCTCCTTCCTAATCTTCTTCTCTTCTACTGATCTTCCCTTTATCTTTATGATATCCAATCCTCTCCTCCTTTTCTTTATTTTATTCTAGCTTCCACATATGAGTTTACCCTTGATTTTCTAATACTGGCTCATTTCATTTACCCTGATGTTCTCCATTTCCATCCATTTACAAGCAAATGCCATAATTCCATTCTTCTTTACGGCTGAGTAAAACTCCATTGTGTGTATATACCACAATTTCTTCATCTATTCATCTATAACACATATCTAGGTTAATTCCATGATAATTGTGAATTGTGCTGCTATAAACTTTGAAGTGGCTGTATCACTATAGTATGATTCTACCAAAGAGTGAAATAGCTGGGTCATATAGTGATTCCATTGCTAGTTCCATGTAGGCACCATTAATATTTTGAGGGACTGCTTTCTGCATTGTGGGACATTTAGAAAAATTCCTGATTTCTACCCACTACATACCAGCTTCATACCTTCTTCCCATTACCCATTTAAGAAAATAAGAAGGGCTGGGGATGTGGCTCAAGCGGTAGGGCGCTCGCCTGGCATGCGTGCGGCCCGGGTTCGATCCTCAGCAACACATACCAACAAAGATGTTGTGTCCGCCAAGAACTATAAAATAAATATTAAAAATTCTCTCTCTCGCTCTCTCTCTCTCTCTCCTCTCTCACTCTCTCTTTAAGAAAAAAAGAAAAGAAAGAAAATAAGAAATATCTCAAGACATGACTAAATATCCTGGAGCAGAGAACCTCAGTTGTAACCTCTAGTTTACAGAATAAGTAAGTTAAAACTTATTGCATACACATGCAATCACATAAATCCAGAAAGGATATTCTATAGCCTTCCTACTCAAATTGTTGTGTAAACACCAGCAATATGTGAAAACACAGGAGCTAGCTAGAAAAGCAAATTTATCCCATCCAATCCTGAACTGTTAAGAAAAAAACATTTTAAGTCAGACACAGTGGTACATACCTGAGGCTGAGACAGGAAGATTGCAAACTTGAGGCAAGCCTGAGCAATTTAATAAGAGCTTGTCTCAAAATAAAATCTAAAAATAGACTGGGATGAAAGCAGGGTATGATGGTGCACACCTGTAATCCCAGCAGCTCAGAAGGCTGAGACAGGAGGATCACAAGTTCAAAGCTAGCTTCAGCAATTTAGCAAGGCCCTAAGCAACTTAGCGAGATTCAGTTTCAAAATAAAAAATAAAAAGAGCTGCCAGCCCGCCTAAAATCCCAGCAGCTCAGGAGGCTGAGACAGGAGGATCACAAGTTGAAAGCCAGCCTCAGCAAAAGGCGAGGTGCTGAACAACTCAGTGAGAGTCTGTCTCTAAATAATATACAAAATAGGACTGGGGATCAGGTTCAGTGGTCGAGTGGCCCCGAGTTCAATCCCCATTACCACAAAAAAATAAAATTTTTAAATTAAATAAAAAGAGCTCAGGATGTGGCTCAGTAGTTAACTGCCCCGGGATTCAATCCCTTGGGTACTAAAAAAAAAAGACCTGGGATGTAGCCCAGTGGTAGAACACTTACCTAACGTGAGCAAGTTCCTAAATTTGACTAGTACCAGGGGGAAAAAAAAGTTTATAGGATAAGCATTTTGTACAAGATCCCAGTGGGTAGATCACATGCACATTAAAGTATATTGTTTATTTTTCTTTTTTTCATTCTTTTTAGGGCTAGGTATTAAATCCAGGCAAATGCTCCTCAGTTCCATACTAAAGCTTCTTAAGTTCACAGTTCACAGAACTACTAACCTAGAGTCTTCAACAAGTGAATGGTTAAAACCAACACAGTGGCACATGCATGAAACCCCAGAGGCCCAGGACACTGAAGCAGGATCCCAAGTTCAAGGTGAGTCTCAGCAACTTAGTGAGGCTGTCTCAAATTAAAAAAATAAAAAGGGATAGGGATGTGGTTCAGTGGGACAGCACCCCAGGTTTAATCCCCAATACTGGGTGAGGAGGAGAATATTTAATCCCCAATACTGGGTGAGGGGGGAATAGACTAAACATAAATTATTCTGAGGACAAATAAGGAAATCTGAATACACACTACATTGTGTATGATACAATAGAATTACTATTACAACGTTTTAATTGTGAAATGTGATAATAATATTATTTTATTATAAAAATGTTCTGTTTTAGAGTAGGGAAGAAGAGCATGAGAAGAAGATTACCACTAAACAGGGACAAGAGGTGGGAGGGAATAGGAGGGAGAAGGGAAATTGCATGGAAAAAGGAAGGAGACCCTCATTGTTATACAAAATTACATATATGATAGTGTGAGGGGGAAGAGGAAAAAAAAAGAGAGAAATGTGTCACAGTAGATTGGGTAGAGAGAGGTGATGGGAGGGGAGAGGAGAGGAGGGGGAGATAGAAAGGGCAACAGAATACAACAGACACTAATATTGCTGTATGTATAAATGTGGCTGTATAACCAATGTGATCCTGCAATCTGTACACATGGAAAAATAAGAATTCATACCCCATTTGAATCAAATGTATGATATGTCAAGATCATTGTATTGTCTTGAACAACTAATAAAAAAAAATGTTCTGTTTTGGGTTTGCATAAGAATAAAATGTTATAATATCTACAATTTACTTTAAAATAAAATTTAGCCAAAAAATGTATGAAGCAAAATAATAACCGATAAATCCAGGGATTGGGTACGTAGGTTTGTTATATTATTTATTCACTCTTTTTTTTCTGCATGTTACCATTTTTCAGAACAAGAAGTTTGGAAGGTTTAAAAATGTGTACATAAATCAACACATATCAAACTTAATAAAAGTACTAGGAAAAAAAGTATGGAAGGTTTAAATACAAACAGTATGCTAGATTAGATCCTAAAACAACAAAAAGTACATGAATGGTATAATTTGTGAAATCTGAAAATTCTGAAATTTTGTTAATGCTAGTGACCCAATGCTAATCTCCTAATTTTAGCAAATGTTACTTTGTTATGAAAATTGGTTAATATCAAAAGAAAGTTTTAACATTATAAAGGAACTCTTTACAGTGTACTATCAACAATCTCTCTGTATATGTAAAATTATTTCAAAATAAAAAGGTTAATTAATTTAATTATTTTAAGTTAAAAAAGAATCAATTAATCAACCAACCAATACATACATAGTGAAGTACCCGAACATACTTGTAAAAGTCTTCATAGAATCGCCCTTTGTGATCCTGTCGAATTGAGGCTTGATTTATTTCAGGAAATTCATCTGAAAAAGAGCCAATGTAGTATGTAGAGCATATTGAAAAAAATAAATTCACAGCTTTGTAAGCTTCCTATTCTGGGTTAAAGATTTGTATAACAAAAATATGAAGATAATTGTGTATCCATTACGTTCGTTTTATGATGAATCACAACCTACAGACTTCTTACATACACTGATATACTATGCTATTTTATTTTCTATTTTACCCTGTTCTCATACAAAGAAGATGAAAAGAATAGCTGGAGATAAATTTAGATAACCAAGCAAGGTGATGTGCACCCGAATTCCCAATTACTACTCAGGAGGCTGAGGCAAAAGGAACGAATGAGCCCAGGAGTTTGAGTTAGGCAACATAGATTTTAGTCTCAAATAAATAACAAAAACTAAAAAAGAAAAAAAATTACTCACCAATAGATTTTGCATCATAGAAAGTTCTAGAAAACAGAACCACTGTCACTTCATGACTACAATTCTTCTCCTAAGCATAAGTAGAGAATAAAAGGGCTCAAGTTTATTTCACTTACTTCACAATATAGCGGCCTGCATGTACACAATATTCTATTTTAGGAGATTCAGCAATAGTGCACAGAATTGAGTAATGGCGTCATATAATTGTAGAAAGCATAGTATAGGACAGAGCACTACTGAGAGTCAGAAGACTGATCAAGTCCTGGCTCTGAAACTTACCACACATGACCTTGCGCAAGTTACCCAAAGCCCCAGGAATGTACAAAGTGCTTGAAAACCCACAAATCACCAATATGCAAATGTTCCTATCTTCCAACTCTTAATTTACCATGAAATCAGTCATTCCAGTATCTAAAACTCAAGATGTTTGCATTTGTTTTACAGTAGTGTATTTTTTGTGGTTTTTTTTTTTTTTTTTTTAATTTCCTCAGACTTCAATCTAGGGAAGAAGAATAGCACTCGATGTATTGGATTCAAGATCAAAAATGCTTCCATATCTAATCACCATTGTAGCATGAGGAATAGGGGCTGGGGGAGAAATGGAGGTATAAGCCAAGGGCATAAATTATCTTTTAGATGGGGAGTGAGAGCTACTGAGAATAAACATTTCCATGGAGTCTGGAGATAACATCCTAAAAGAAGGGTGTTTACAGACAGATGTGAAATGTGGCTACTTGTAATAAGTTAGTAAGCTCAGTTTCAGTTCTTCCAACCCCATCTCTATCCCAACAATACTTTATAATCATATAATTCAGTATTCACCATATAGGCATACAACTTAATGCACTATATATCACTATATGTTCTTCTATGGCTGTATCTCAAGTGTACAGAAATTCCTAAATACAAGTCACAGTACCAAGAACGGAGGACTAGAAAAGAACAGAGCTTCATTAGCTACCCACTAAGTTACTGAACTCCAAATACTCCAAAGTCAACATTCTTGTCAAATTTTGATATAAGAGGTTCACAGAAAATAGGTCACAATGCACTAGAGTGGGCAGAAGAGTTTCTTGACTCATGTGATGGAAAAAGAGAGATTACTTTTCTTTCCATTTTGCAGAAAAGGAAAGTGATGCTGAGAGAGACTGAATAATTCTCCAAGATTAAAAAGCTAATCAGGGGGCTGGGGATGTAGCGCGCTCGCCTGGCATGCGTGCGGCCCAGGTTCGATCCTCAGCACCACATACCAACAAAGATGTTGTGTCCGCCGAGAACTAAAAAATAAAAATTAAAAAAAAAAAAAAAAAAAAAAAAAAAAAGCTAATCAGGCTGATGGCACATGCCTATAATTCCAGCAATTCAGGAGGCTGAAGCAGGAGGATCAAAAGTTCAAGGCCAGCCTTAGCAATTTAATGAGGTCCTAAGCAACTCAGCAAGACGCTGTCTCAAAACATATTTTTTAAAAAAAGGGCTGGGGGGGGGCATAACTTTATGTTCTTTTCCACTACATAATATGACCTGAAATACTTTTTTGATCAGGATGATGTTTCCATGTGAAATAAAGGTCAGCTAATTTGTAGGTTTTTAAAAATTGTGGTAAAATAAATGTAACATAAATGTACTATTAGTGTCATTTACTACATTTACAGTGTTGTGCAACCATCACTACTACATAGTTCCAGAACATTTTCATCACCCCAAAAGGAAATTCCATGTCATAGTCACTCCACCCTCAGTCCATTGCAACCACAAATCTACTATTCACCTCTATATATTTGTTTATTCTGGACATTTCAGGCAAATGAAATTTTATGTGGTCATTTGTTTAGATTTTCCCATTTAGCATGTTTTCAAGATTCATCTTGGTGGCACATGCCTATAATCCCAGCAACCCAAGAGACTGAGGCAGGAGGCTCATTAGTTCAAGGTCAGCCACAGCAACTTAGCAAGGCCCTAAGCAACTGAGCAAGACTATATTTAAATAAAATATTTAAAAGATATGGGAACATGGCTCAGTGGTTAAGCACCCCTGGGTACCAAAAAAAAAAAAAACACATTCATCCATGTCATAGCATATATTAGTACTTCATTCCTTTTTGTAGCTGAACATACTATATTGTATGGATATTCCTGATTTTATTTATTCACTCATTAGCTTACAGATATTTGTGTTGTTTCCACTCCTTATCTATTATGAATAATGTCGTTAGGGATATACATGTGGGATGGAAGTATAGTTCAGTGGTAGAGTAACTTGCCTAGCATGTATGAGGCCCTAAGTTCAATCCCTAGCACACACAAAAAAAGAATATGCACATATGAGTTTTTGTGTGAATATGTTTTCAATTCTATCAAGTATAACTTGCCCTCCATATGAATGGATCCACTATCCACAAATAACCAACCATAGATCAAACATACTCAAGAAAAAAATTTCGGGGCTGGGGATGTGGCTCAAGCGGTAGCGCGCTCGCCTGGCATGCGTGCGGCCCGGGTTCGATCCTCAGCACCACATACAAACAAAGATGTTGTGTCTGCCGAGAGCTTAAATAAATAAATGTTAAAATTCTCTCTCTCTCTGTCCCCCTCTCTCTCTCACTCTCTCTTTAAAAAAAAAAAAAGAAAGAAAAAAATTTCATCATACTGAACATGTATAAACTTTTTTCTTCCCATTATTTCCTAAAGAATACAACACAGCAATTATTTGCACAGTGGTTACCTTATATTACATATTGTAAATAATCTAAAGATTATTTAAAGTATACGGAAAGACACATAGATTTTATGCAAAAGTTACACCATTTTATATAAGGAACTTGAACATCCATTCCAAAGATTTTGGTATCCACAGGAGGACCTGGAACTCTATGGATAATGAGGAATGATTATACACTCCCAAGTATGGAACTGCTGGGTCACACAGAAATTTCATTTAATTTATTGAGGAAATAACAACTTATTTTCCATAGTGGCCATACCATTTTACATTCCCAGCCACAATATATAAGAGTTTCAAATTCTCCATATTCTCTCCAATACTTATTATACATACTTCATTTTATAAAAAAGTATTATTAGATACAAAACAGTGCTGGGGATGTGGCTCAGAGGTTGGGTGCCGCTGAGTTCAATCCCTGGTACCAAAAAAAAAAAAAAAAAGTATTTCTAGAGCCTGGGAATGTGATTCAATGGTAGAGCATATATGAGGTCCTGGGTTAAGTCCTAGCATCACACACCCACATGCACATATATGTATGTATGTATGTATGTATAATTAGTTGTCTTAGCAAATGTGAAGTGGTATTTCACTGTGGTATTAGCTTGTATTTTCCTAATGACTAATACTTGGACACCTTTTTACATACTTATCCATTTGTATATGTTCTTCAGAGAAATATATATTCAAGTCCTTTGTCCATTTATTAATTAGTGTGACTTCTTGAGTTCTAAAAGTTGCTGATATTTTCTCAATGCTATTTTCACTTTCTTGCTAGTGTCCTTTGTGGCACAAAGTTTTCAGTGTGCCTGTGTGTGTGTGTGTGTGTGTATGTAAATTGAAACCAGAGGATCTTGTACATGCTAAGCACATGCTCAACCACTGAACTACAACTCTGTTGAACTTTCATTTTTTAAAAAATATTTTTAGTTGAAGATGGACACAATACCTTTGTTTATTTAATTTTTTTATGTGGTGCTGGGGATCAAACCCAGTGCCTCACAATAGCTAGGCAAGCGCTCTATCACTGAGCCACAACCCTAGCCCAGATTTTCAAAGTTTAATTTATTTATTTCTTCTTCAGTTTGTTGTACTTTTGCTGAAATATCTAAGAAGCCCTGCCAAATCCAAGATCATAAAGATTTCCCTCAAGTGTTTTTTTAAGAGTTTCAAGGTTTTAGCTCTTATATTTAGGTCTTTAATTTTGGTTAATCTTTGTATATGATTGAGGTAAGGATCCAAATTCATTGTTTTCCATATGGATATACAGTTGTCCCAGACCACTTGTTGAAGATATTGTTCTTTCCCCAATTATATGAACTTAAAACCCTTATCCAAAATCAACTACCATAGATTTCTGGACTTTTAATTCTATTCTACTGATCTATATGTGTATCTTTAGTCTAGTATCACTGTTGTAATGACTGTAGCTTTGTAGTAAGTTTTAAAATTAGTTAAATTTGAATCCTCCAAATTTGTTCTCCTTTACAAGACTGTTTCTGGCTGTTCAGGATTTCTTGAAATTCCACATGAACTTAGAATCAACTTTTCCATTTCTGCAAAAAGGTACTGAACTGTAGATTGCTTTGAGTAGTATAGTCATTTTAACAACATCAAGTATTTCAATCTGTGAATAGAAGCTCTCTTTCTTTTTATTTGGGTCTTTATTAATTTCTTTCAGTAAGGTTTTATAGATTTTAGTATACAAGTCCTGCCAGTCCTTGGGTAAATTATTTCCTGAAGTATTTTATTCCTTCTGATGTTATTGTAAATGCTTTCTCTAATTTCCTTTTTTGGTTGTTCTTTGATGGTATACAAATATCAATTTTCTGTGAAGATTTTATATCCAGAAACTCTACTTGATTTAGCACTAATAAATTTTTTGTAGATGGATTTTTAGGATTTTCTACATATAGGATCATGTTATTGGAAAACAAAGATAAGTTTTACTTCTTTTCCTATTTGGATATCTTTTTTTTAAATTTTTTATTTGTTTTAATTAGTTATATATGACAGTAGAATGCACTTATATACTTTGATATATCATACATAGATGTGATATAATTTCTCATTTTTCTGAGTATACATATTATAGAATCACATTGGTCCTACAGTTACATATATACATAAAGTAATAATGTCTGTTTCATTCTACTATCTTTCTTATCCCCAAATCCCCTGCCTTCCCCTCCTTTCACTTCCATCTACCTAAAGTAACGCGTTTTTTTTTTTGCATTACAATTCTTAATACACATATATACCACAATTTTTGTATCTCTGTTTGTATATAAAGCATATTGACACCTAAATCTTTTTTTTTATTTTAGAGAGAGAGACAGAGAGAGAATTTTAATATTTATTTTTTAGTTTTTTGCAGACACAACATCTTTGTATGTGGTGCTGAGGATCGAACCTGGGCGGCACACATGCCAGGAGAGCGTGCTACTGCTTGAGCCACATCCCCAGCCCCAACACACATCTAAATCTTTATACATGTACTTTGTATAAGCATGTCCATCACATTCCACCATCCTTGCTAATCCCCTGCCCCCTCCCTTTTCCTCCCACCCCTCTTCCCTATCTAGAATTCATCTATTCCTCCCATGCTCTCCCTCCCTACCCCACTATGAGTCAACCTCCTTATATCAGAGAAAACATTTGGTATTTGTTTTGGGGGGATTGGCTGACTTCACTTAGCATCATCTTCTCCAAAACCATCCATTTACCTGCAAATGCCATGGTTTTGTTCTTTTTTTAATGCTGAGTAAAATTCCATCGTGTATATGCCACATTTTTTTTATCCATTCATCCACTGAAAGACATCTAGGTTGGCTCCACAGTTTAGCTATCGTAAATTGTGCTGCTATAAACATTAAAAACAGTATGCTGTTTTTAAGTCCTTTGGGTATATCTGGGGAGAGGAATAGCTGGGTCAAATAGTGGTTCCACACCCAGTTTTCCAAGGAATCTCCATACTGCTTTCCATATTGGCTGCACCAATGTTCAGTCCCACCAGCCAAGTATGAGTGTCCTCGCCAACACTTATTGTTGTTTGGCTTCATAATAGCTGCCATTCTGACTGGAGTGAGATGATATCTTAGAGTGGTTTTGATTTGCATTTCTCTGATTGCTAGAGATGATGAGCATTTTTTCAAATATTTGTTGATTGATTGTATTATTTGAATATCTTTTATTTATTTTGTTGCCTAGTTGCTCTGCCTAGAACTCCTAGAAAAATGTTGAATACCAGCGGCAAAAGCAAGCATCCTTATTCCTGATTCTAAGTTAAAGTTTTCAGTCCTATTTCAAACTTGAGTATGATATCAGCTATGGGTTTCATAAATACTCTTTACTATATTGAAATGATACTTAGTTTAGAGTTGAAGTTTTAGGTAACATAGCTTAATTTAAAGCAATTTAATAGAAACAATCCATTTTAAAAATCTGCATTGATTTTTGATCTTTGTAAATGCCAAGAAGTGGGTTATATGGTGATTTCATTCCTATTTTTTTGAGGAATCTCTCATGGATTTCCAAAGTGGTTGTACTAAATTGCAGTCCACCAACAATGTATCTGTGTACCTTTTCACCCACATCATTACCAGTATTTATTACTACTGGTGTTCTTGATAATTGCCATCCTAATTAGAGTGAGATAAAATCTTAGAATAGTTTTGACTTGCATTTCCCTGATTGCTAGAGATGCTAACCATTTTTTTCATATATTTATTGGTCATTTGTTTTTCTTTTGAGAAACTTCTGGTTAGTTCTTTTGCCCATTTATCGACTGAGTTATTCTTTTGGCATTGGGTTTTTTGAGTTGTTTATAAATTCTAAATATTAATCACTGTCAGAGGAGTAGCTGGCAAAGATTATTTTTGTATTCTGTTGGCCCTCTCTTCACACTCTTAATTATTTCCTTTGCTCTGCAGAAGCTTTAATTTGATGGCATCTCACTTATTGAGATGGTTTTATTTCCTGAGCTTTAGGGGTCAGCATACTATAGTGATATAGCCACTTCAATGTTTATAGCAGCATAATTATGGAATCGGCCCAGATGCCCATCACATATATATATATATATATATATATACAATAGAGTTTTACTCAGCCATAAAGAAGGATGAAATAATGGCATCTGCCAGCAAATACATGGCAATGGAGAATAACACACTAAGTGATACAAAGTGATATACGAATTGCTTTTTTGTGTATTTTTGGTGGTGCTGAGGATTGAACCCAGGGCCTCATACATGCTAGGCAAGCACTCTACCACTGAGCCACATCCCCAGCCAGTGCTAAGTGATATAAGCCAGCGAAAATCAAGAGTCAAATGTCTTTTCTCATATATGGAAGATAGAGCAAATAAGGGAAAGAAAGCAGTGGGGGAGTGGTGCAGGGGATTAGAGATCACAAATAATAGGAAAGATCAGTAGAACAAAGAAGAACAAAAGGGAGGGAAGAAGGATGGAAAAGGGGAAGAAATGTGGAATTAATTAAACAAAATCATGTTATATGAATACATAAATGTACCAGAAGGAATTTCAACTTTCTGTATAAGTAGAAAGTACCAATGAAAAATAAATAGAGGAGCAAAAGGAAGACCAGTAGAGCACAGGAAGGAGAATATGAGGAGGAAAGAGGGGAGGAAAAAGCGGGCAGGAAATAGGGATTGAAATCAAATCCCTAGCATGTGATGAACCCAACTACTATAACTGTAATGCTCTAATTAAAAAAAAAAAATCTGCATTGACCAATATTTATCCAATGAGACTTAATGTAGAAGAAGAAACGTACCTTCCACTTGGTAAATAGATCAGCAAGGAAACCATTCACAGCTTTCTCAAAATACAGATCCCCTGAAAATAAATAGTAAGAATATGAGAACTAACCTTATTTCTTGCTTTCATTCTTCTCTAAAAAATAAAAGAAATGAGACCAAAGAGAAAATGGTAGACTCTGCTAGACCTTAAAACAAGATCATAAAAGCCAAAAGTACAAGGAGATTTGTTTCATCCTAGACTTTCTATCAAGCCAAATTTAATATCTGTTTCCCTTAGTTGTAGGCCATGGCTTCAAGGTAAAATGTTAACTTGGAAAAAAAGCCTAGATTATTGGGGCTGGGGCTGTAGCTCAGTGGTAGAGCACTTGCCTAGCATGCATGAGGCACTGGGTTCGATCCTCAGCACCACATAAAAATAAACAAATAAAATAAAGGCATTCAGTCCATCTACAACTACAAAAAAAAATAATTAAAAAAGAAAAAAAGCCTAGATTATTGATAAATACAGTATATCTCAAAATGAGAACAACCTAACCTCCAAATATGATTATGCTCATAGTGATGTTTAGAGTGTATTAGCAAATGAATTGATAGACCCTGGGAATTCACAAATTATCATCTGTAGTTCTTGCTATGCATAAGTGACCTTGTCAACTCAGAGCAAACATTAATGTGTAATTTTGCTAAACACAAATTTGAATATCATGTACCATAAGGCTAATATGTTGGACATAGCATCTAGCATTTTCATTGTTCTCATTATGTCCTAATTCTAATATAATAAAATAAATTTGGTTATTTCTGTAAGTGCTAGAAAAAGAAATGTAAAATATCAAAGAAGGTATCTGTTGTATCTGTTGATAACCAGAGTTGTCACTCTGTAACTTTTTTGGGGGGGTGCGGGGGTACTTGGGATTGAACTCAGGGGCACTCAACCACTGAACCACATCTCTACCCCTATTTTGTATTTTATTTAGAGACAGAGTCTCACTTAGTTGCTTAATGCTTCATTTTGCTGAGCTTGGCTTTGAACTTGCAATTCTCCTGCCTCAGCCTCTCAAAACATTGGGATTACAGGCATGTGCCATTGCCCCTGGCACTCTAACTTTTCATTATATACTTAAAGATCAAGGTCTGGCTGGACGTGGTGGCGCACATATATATATATATATACAAACATACAAAAATATAACCTTTATATACCAACTTTATATATTTATGCATAAATATAAAGACTATAGATACATATGTGTATATGTATATATGTGTGTGTGTGTGTATATATATATATATATATATAAAAATTTATTTCTCAACTTCATACATACATAAAATTTATCTCTCTACATATAGTCCGTCTATCTACCTTAGCATCAAGGCACATCTTTAAAGAGTGTCAACAGTTTACTGTAAAATGACTGCAACTTAGAGAAAACCAGAAAACTCTACCTAGTGGCAGTTACAATCAGCACTTAGAGAACATTACCATAAATATCAAAATCCCACATTTCACAGCTCATCTGAATAAATATGTAAACCATAGCTGACGTAGAACGGAACACCACCTGAAACAGGAGGAGAAAAAACATAATTGCATTAGAAAATAATAATGCAGTCAGGCACAGTGGCCCACGCCTGTAATCCCAGCAACTCAGGAGGCTGAGGCAGGATTCCAAGTTTAAGGCCAACAATTCAGCAAGACCCTGACTCAAAATAAAATATAGAAAAGAACTGGTGATGTAGCTCAGTGGTAAAGCACCATAGGTTCAATCCCCAGTACTACCAAAAAAAAAAAAAAAAACAATGATGTATGATTTTGGTGTTGCAAAATGAAGTAGTTCCTGAAGATCTGTTTTACAACAGTGTAAATAAACTTAACACACTGAACTACACACTTAATGTTTCCTATTGCTGGGCATGGTGGTTTCCTATTGTAAATTTTATGTGTTTTAACACTTTTTATTTTTATTTATTTTTTTTTTGGTATGTGGGGATTGAACCCCAGGCACTTAATCACTAAGCCACATCCCTAGCCCTTTTTTATATTTAATTTAGAAGACAAGGTCTCACTGAGTTGCTTAGGGCCTCACTAAGTTGCTGAGGCTGGCTTTGAACTTCCGATCCTCCTGCTGTAGCCTCCCCAGCCATTGGGATTATAGGTATGCACCACCACACCCAGCTCAATACTGTCTTTTAAAAAGCATATTTCTTTTCTTTCTTTCATTTAAACAATTACTCAGCTCATACTCTGGTCCTTGTAATATTGGCAGTAATAAGATTTAGTCCCTGCCCTCTTGGAGTTTATAGCACATGATGTCAATGTGAAAAATATTGCAGTATGTACAAACAATCCATGAAGATTCATTCACACAAGAAATGAAGCAGAAAGGACAGAGAATCCACCTGGGCAAGTCACAGAAAGCTCATTATGGAAATAGAACTCGGGCAAAAATATACCAAATGAAAATGAAATCATTTGCCAGTCTATAAATTATAATTCGTACTTCCTCTTTGCCCAGACTGCCTCAAGGAAAAGCATAAGTGGCATTCTGGCCACATGTGTTTTACCATAGGTTCTTTGCCCAGTTCTTTCCTCCTCCATGAGGTTCTGAAGAGGCTTGATATGAAAGCAGAATATAAATCTGTGACACTCCTTTAGTTAGTTCATTTAGAGACCTGCTTCTTAAAGACAGAAGCATCTTTAAAGATCATACTCTTGGGGCTTTCTATACTCCCTGGGACATAACAAGCATTTGATAAGTTCATTCTCCTTCTCTAACACACAGAACACAAAGACAAAGAGGAAATATACCTTCCAAAATGTCAACTTTGATCATCTCTGGTATTGATTGGTATGAGGAATTTTGTTCCTTTGGGTTTTGCTTGTTTTGTTTTGTTTTTTGCAGTACTAGGAATCAAACCCAGTGCCTCACACATGCTAAGCAAATAGTGAGCTTTATCCTGAGACCTGTTTATTTTTTTAAATTATGACATACTTCAGAAAAAGAAATAGAAATATATATTATCTAAATTTTTTATAATAAACATTTAAGGCTCTGATAATCAAAGTTTTTGTTTGTTTGTTTGTTTTGCTAAGACATAAAAAGTACAAATTCAAGGCAAGCCTCAGCAATTAGCATAACCCCCAACAATTTAGCAATCCTTAGTACCTCCACAAAAAAAAAAATTTTCTTCAACATAAATTTTGATAGAGACACTCCAACCACAGTACTGCATTCTACAATTGTTTTTTTATGTGCTCTCCACTTTGAAACTGTAAAGTGATAGTTATTATTTCATTCAAAAGGCTTCTAAAAGTCCCTTCCTCTCTTGATTTTTATTTTTGCAGTGCCGGAGATCAAACCCAAGGCCATGTACATGCTAGGCAAGCAGTCTATCACCAAGCTACACCCCCAAACAGGTTTGGGTTTTTACAAATAGATTTCTGCAATTCAGTAGTTTCAAGTATATTCACAATATTGTACAGCCATCACCATTAATTCCAGAGAATTTCCATCGCTCCAAAAAGAAACCCCATAACCATTACCTCTTATTCCCCAATCTCCTCTCTATGAACTTGCCTATTCTGGATGACATTTCATTAATAATTGTGAATATGTCACACCAATAGAATCATACTCTATGTAGTCTTTTGTGACTGGTTGTTTTCACTCATCCACTTTGTTGCATGAATCCAAAAGAATGTCAAGCTGGAGAGAGGAGGGGTTACACTTGTAATCCCAATTATTAAGGAGGCTGAGGCAAAAGGATTGTGAATTCAAGGCCAGCCTAGGCAACATATCGAGACCCCCATCTCAAAAACATTTTAAGGGCTGTGGTGTAGCTCAGTGGCAGAGCACTTGCCTAGCATGTGTGGGGTACTGGGTTTGATCCTTAGCACCACATAAAAATAAACAAATAAACTAAAGACATTCTGTCCATCTACAACTAAAAAAAAAAAAAAATTATTTAAAAAAAAAGTTTTTAAAAAAATTATTAAAAAGGAAAAAAAAGCTGGGCACATTGGTGCATGCCTATAATCCTGGCAACTCAGGAGGCTAAGACAGGAGAATCATGAGTTCAAACCCAGCCTCAACAATGGCTGAGGAGCTAAGCAACTCAGTGAGACCTTGTCTTTAAATAAAATACAAAACAGAGCTGGGGATGTGACTCAGTGGCCAAGTGCCCCCTGAGTTCAATCCCTGGTACCAAAAAAAAAAAGAAAAAGGACCTCATATTAACACCCCAACACACACACAGAGAGACCCTCAATACCCTGAAAATTAAGAATTTCATTCTTTTTTTTTTAAGAGAGAGAGAAAAAAATTTTTTAATATTTATTTTTTAGTTTTTGATGGACACAACATCTTTATTTTTTTATTCTTATATGGTGCTGAGCATCGAACCCAGCGCCCCGCACATGCCAGGCGAGCACGTTACCGCTTGAGCCACATCCCTAGCCCAAGAATTTCATTCTTATTGCTGAAAATTATGTGGAAATACCACATTTTTGTTTCTCCATTTATTAGCTGATGAACAGCTGGCTAGTTTCTACTTCTGGGCTATTATACATAATCCTGTTGCAAACATTCATGTACAAGTTTTGGTGGGTACATATGCTTTTCAGTTCTCTCAGGTAAATACCTAGGAATAGAATTTCTGGGTAATATAGTAACTACGCAGTATCCTTGAAAATATAACCCAAGTCTTATGGATGCTAGGCAAATGCTCTACCACTGAGCTACACACAGTTCATTGTGCTTAACTTTTTGAAGAACCACTAAGCTGTTTTCCACAGTAGCTGCACCATTTTACTTTCCTATCAGGACTATATGAGGTGAGAGGATCACTTGAACCCAGGAATTCCAGGCCAACCTGCATAACACAGCAAGACCCCATCTCAAAAAATAAACATAATAAAAGTTGCAGAAATAAATACTCCCTTTCCCTTTAAATTTAACACTTCTATTCCTTTTTTTAATATTTATTAGTTGTTTAGTTATAGGTGGACACAATATCTTTATTTTATTTGTATGTGGTGCTGAGGATCGAACCCAGTGCCTCATGCATACTAGGCAAACGCTCTACTTCTGAGCACAACCCCAGCCCTACTTCTAATCTTATTTGGGTTGGAAAATCAGGTAAGTAATCTGGTAATAAAGTTTTTCTTTAAATAAGTGGTCTGGGGCTAGGGCTGCAGCTCAGTGGTAGAACACTTACCTAGCATGTGTGAGGCAATGGGTTTGATCCTCAGCAACACATATAAATATATAAAATAAAAGTCCATGACAGCGGGCGAGGTGGAACACACCTATAATCCCAGCGGCTGGGGAGGCTAAGATAGGAGGATTGTGAGTTCAAAGCCAGCCTCAGCAACGGCAAGGCACTTAGCAACTCAGTGATACTCTGTCTCTAAAAGACAAAATAAGGCTGGGGGTGTGGCTCAGTGGTTCAGTATCCTTGAGTTCAATCCCTGGTACCAAAAAAAAAGATTGGACATCCAATTGCACATCCAATAAATGACATTCATCTTTTCAAAAAAAAAAAAAATGTGAGAGAACAACTAGAAAAAAATATTGAAAAAAAAAATAATAATAAGAGGGCTGGCTGGGGTTGTGGCTCAGCTGGTAGAGTGCTTGCCTGGTACATGTGAGGCACTGGGTTCGAGCCCCGGCACCATGCCACATAAAAATAAAATAAAGGCATTGTGTCCATTTACTAGAAAAAAAATTTAAAAAATAAAATAAAAAATAAGAGGGCTGACAGATGGTATAGCTCAGCGCTAGAATGTGTGCTTAGCATGTACAAACTCCTGCATTCAATCCCCAGCATTAAAAAAAAAAAAAAAAATGCAGCCAGGCATATTGGCGCACGCCTATAACCCCAGTGGCTTGGCAGGCTGAGGCAGAAGGATCCCGAGTTCAAAGCCAGCTCAGCAAAAGCAAGGTGCTAAGCAACTCAGTGAGACCATCTCTAAATAAAATATAAAATAGGACTGGGAATGTGGCTCAGAAGTCAAATGCCCCTGAGTTCAACCCCAAGGTACCAAAAAAAAAAAAAAAGTTATATATATATATATACAAATATATATACATACATACATATATATGTATATATATGTGTGTGTGTGTATACACATATATATGTGTATATATATATATATATATATATATATATATATCTCATTCAATGTAAAGAAGGAAGGTATTGTGACATTCATTACTTAAAATTTTACAATGCTGGGCTGGGGATATAGCTCAGTTGGTAGAGTGCTTGCCTTGCATGCATAAGGCCCTGGGTTCAATCCCCAGAACCACCAAAAAAATAAAAATAAAAAGTAAAAAATTTTACAGTGCTAACCAAACATAATGGTGTATGCCTATAATCCCAGCAACTCAGAATACTGAGGCAGGATAGAAAGTTTGAGGGCAGTCTCAGCAATTTAGGGAGACCCTGTCTCAAAATAAAAATGGCTGGGGATGTGGCTTAGTGGTAAAGTACTTCTGGGTTCAATCCCCAGTACAAAAAAAATAATAAAATAAAATGTCATTCAATGGACATTAAAGAGACTACTAAACAACTATTTAACATCCATTTTCCAAAGCAGATTCTATTTTGGGAGGCAAGGGACCAAACCAAAAGACTAAACTTCCTAGTCTTAGCAGCAACATTCAACTAAATTCTAGCCAGTAAGATGTAAGTGGGGTTTTGCTATGTTTTCTTTATTTTGTTGTTGGGAATTGAACCCAGGACCTTATGCATGCTAACCCCAAGCCCTAGTAAGATGTACTATATCCTTAAAAGAAGTGCAATTGGTTGAAAAGTAACCATCTCTTGTCTTCTCTCCCTAAAATATTCTGCCTAGAATATGGGATGTGGTTTCAGGAGCGTGAGCTGGATCATGAAAGTCCTAGCCATGATTTCAAGATGGCAGAGCAGGAAGACAGATGGAGCCCTTAATAGATCACAAATAAAGTGTGACACTGTCATGCCCACCATGAATTATGTAACCAGAGTTCTCTTACATGAAAAGAAAAATAAAATAGTTGACTTTAAGCATTATAGCTACTGTTGCTTTGGGGTTTTTGTTCAACAAAATCGAAGCAAAAAAAAAAGTTTTAAGACAGGGTCTCCCTAAAAAAACCAGTGACCTTTCCATCTTGATCATCCACAAGACTGGGATCCAAATTAAAATCAGATATATTCCATGCTTGAACAAATATATCAAAATAGACTCTACTCTCATGTATAACTAAAAAGATTAAATAAAAAATAAGTACTTAGAATTTTTAATTTTATAAAAAGAATATTTGGCTCTGTATAATCTTTTTTGGAAATCTGTCACTTAACATTGTGTGATAAAATTCATTCATATTATTACTTGTAGCTACAGTTCATTAATTCTTTTGTTGTTGTTGTTGTTGTTGTTGTTAATGGGGATTGAACTCAGGAGCACTCAACCACTGAGCCACATCCCCAGCCCCATTTTGTATTTTATTTAGAGACAGGGTCTCACTGAGTTGCTTAGTGCCTCACTAAGTTGCTGAGGCTGGTTTTGAACTCAAGATCCTCCTGTCTGAGCCCCAAGAGCCACTGGGATTACAGGCATGCATCACCACGCCCAGCCAAAAGAAATTTTCAAAAATAAGTGAAACAAATAATGTACTATTGAGGTAAAATATATACATATTAACACTAAATGAATGACAAGAAAATATAAAAATGAAATTCAGATAGCAGCTACCTGTCTGTAAAGACACTGATTCTTAACCAGGGGTGATTTTGCCCCTCAGGGGATCTGATACCATCCAGAGACATATCTGGGTGTCATGATTTATAGGGGGGGTCAGAGAATGAAACTGGTATCTCATGAGCAGAAGCCAGGGATGCTGTTAAATATACCAAAATGCAGAAGACAGTTCCCATTACTGACATTTGGGCCAGGTAATTCTTTGTTTGGAGGCCTGTTCTATATATGTAGCATTCTTAACAGCATATTCACTGGATGCCAATAGCACAATAACTCAGTTATAACAACCAAAAAAATCTGGACATTGCCAAAAGACTCCTGAGGCAGCAAAATCACACCTAGTTGAGACAGTTTGACCAGCATGAGTAATATTCACAGCTGTTCAACTTGGATTCTTCCCACCACAGCAGAGACCCAGAAAGGATTCCTTTGCAAAGGTCTCTCTTCATGTTTACGACATGATCTTCAATGAGTTTCACTTTTGCTATGTATCAGTGGACAGAGAATCTTGCAGACTAGACACCATACCTCTATGTTGAACATTAAATAGGCTGATTTGGAATAAAACGACACAGGTTGGGATTATGGCTCAGCAGTTGAGCACTGGCCTAGCACATGTACAGCCCGGGATTCAATCCTCAGCAGCACATAAAAAATAAATCAATAAAAAAAAAAAAAAAAGCAATTGTGTCCAACTAAAAAAGAAAAAAAAAAAAGATCAATCCCCAACCTGCAAAGATACAACTGTAAACATCAGAGTTGCAGAGCACTCTGATTCTAATTCCATGAAGGCAAACCAATAGCAATTATGAATATTTTGATCTTAGGACTAAGTCATAATACTACAAGGAAATAAAACCAAAAAAAAAAAAAATACTTTATAAATCTTACCCTGGTATCTTCACTGATATAACCACACATGACCTTCTCATTCTTGACCCACAGCTCACCAGCTTGTGCCCTGAAAGGAAAGACAAACATAAATTATTACAAGTCTTAAATCAAGAAGAAATAGGAACTTAAGATAGCTAGCTCTACTCTAATAGTTATACCCAAATGACCTGATTAATTACACACTTACAAAAAGAATTCCATGAACAGATTACTCAACATAAAAAAAAATTTGTAGTGCATTCAATACTTAAAAACAAGAACTCTTAATCTGGGAGTTCACAGATAATTTATACTTCTAAGGAAGAGAAGAGAGAACTCCAGGGAATCCATAACCTTCAGAAATACAAGATTATCTGGGCAGAATTATCTGGGCACATAAAAAGTTAAAAAGCAGTTGTTTGACAAGATAGTGCACACCTGTAATTCCATCTACTTGGAAGGCTAAAACAGGAGGATTACAAATTTGAGGCCAGTCTTGGCAATTTACCAAGACCCTGTCTCAAAAAATAAAAGAGGCTTGGCACAGTGGCACACACCTGTATTCCCAGTGGCTCAGTAGGCTGAGACAAGAAGACCAAGATTTCAAAGCCAGCCTCACAAAGGGGAATTGCTAAGCAATTCAGTGAGACCCTGTCTCTACAAATAAAATACAAAATTGGGCTGGGGATGTGGCTCAGTGGTCTAGAACCTCTGAGTTCAATCACAGTATCCCAAAATAAATAAATTAAATAAATAAGTAAAAGGGGCTGCAAATGTAGCTCAGTGGTAGAGCATCCCAGATACAATTCTCAGTACCACAAACAGTCTGGCTCTGCTGAAAAATTTTAATGACAACTTAGTATTACATTTTTCCAGCTTTTTTCCTCTGAAAAAATTTAAGGGCATGAGGGTTGAAGTTGTAGCTCAGTGGTAGAGCACTTGGCTAGCCTGAATGAGGCACTGCATTCAATCCTCAGCACCACATAAAAATAAATAAATAAAATAAAGATATTGTGTCCATTTATAACTAAAAAAAAATTAAAGGCATGAAAAGGATAATAATAAAAAGACCTGACTAACCTGGGAAGAAACTAATCAAGGAAAGAATCCCAGCTCTAAATGCTATTTATTAGTTAAATGCCCCTGGGGAAACTCTAAGAGGATCAGTGTTCTTATTGTATAAAATGAGCTGTTATGAGAATTAAACCAGATGATGTGGGAAACTTCAGAATAATGCCAGGATAGAAGTGTTCAGTTAAGAGTACTAGGGGCTATTCTTATAAGTAAGAACTACAACAATAGCAAATATTTTAATAAAATGCTATCTTGGAGAGATATCTGAGAACCAGGTAATCATCCCTCAAACAACTACTTAAGCCCTTCTCTTCTACCAATCTCCCTCTTCCTCCCCAGTGTCCTCACCTGCCCAGTTGAAAAATCAATCCTCTTAAGGAAGGAAGAAATGGGCCTGGAGATGTAGCTTAATATTAGAACATGCTCTTAGCATATGCAAGGTCATGGTTCAAGGTTTGGTTCCCCAGAACAAAAAAAAAAAATACATACATGTGTGTATATGTGTGTTGTGTATATATATATGTTATTTATACACATAATATATATACATATATTATGTGTATAAATAACATACACATATAACATACGTACATTAATATATGTAAATAAAATAAAAGCCAAGAAAATGCTATGTGCCATGAGTCATAACAGAGACTATCATAACTGAGACTAACCAGGAAAAAGCTAGACACTCTCAACCTCTCTGAGCCTCTGCTGTATCTGTAAAATGAAGAGGATTAGACCAAACCTTTGGTTTTCAAGCATGCTTCTCATGGTCCTAAAAAATATATCTCATAATATGCTATTGCCCAATTATGTCTGAATGGTCAAGTAGAACAAGCCTGACTTGAGAAGGGGCCACTATTTCTTTAATATTACAGGTTGAGCATCCCTAATCCAAAAATCTAAAATATTAAATTATCCAATCCAAAAGTTTTTGAATGCCTACACAATGCCATAGTGGAAAATTCCATTGACCTCACTATGATAAGGGTCAGAGTCAAAAGACAAGCACACTAAAAGCACTGTATAAAATTAGGGTTGCAGATATAGCCCAGTGGTGGAGTATGCACAAGAAGCTGATTTCAATCACCAGCACCATAAAAAAGTATTTAAAAAAAAAAAATTAGGGGCTAGGGTTATAGCTTAGTGATAGAGCACTTGCCTCACGCACGTGAGGCACTGAGTTCAATCCTCAGCACCACATAAAAATAAAGAAAGAAAGATAATCTATAACTAAAAAAAAAATTTTTTTAAATAATCTCAAGCTATGTGTAGAAGGTAAACAAGAAACAAATGAATTCTGTTTACAATGGGGTCCCAACTCCAAGATATCATTATGTGCATGCAAATATTCCAAAATCTGAAAAAATCCAGTTTCTGAAATACTTCTAGTGCCAAGCATTTCAAGTGAGAGATACTCAACCTGGACAGGCATGGTAGTGCATGCCTGTAATCCCAGGGTCTTAAGAGGCTTAGGCAAGAGAATCCCAAATTTGAAGCTGGCCTCAGCAACTTAGTAAGACCCTGTTTCAGAATAATAAATAAGAAGGCTTTGGGCTAGGGATGTGGCTCAAGCGGTAGCACACTTGCCTGGCATGCATGCATGCGACCCGGGTTCGATCCTCAGCACCACATACAAACAAAGATGTTGTGTCCAACGAGAACTAAAAAATAAATATTAAAAAAATTCTCTCTCTCTCTCTCTCTCTCTCCCTCCCCCCTCTCTAAAAAATAAATAAATAAATAAACAAATAAATAAATAAATAAGAAGGCTGGGCATGTAGCTTAATGGTACAGTGTCCCTGGGTTTAATCCCCAGTACCACATACACACAAAAAGAGATACTCACCCTGAACAGTTTCAGTGTTCCCATGTTCTGTGAGTTTTATTAGCAAGAAGCACTCTCCATATAAGCTACCAAACACCACATCAGTGGGGTCTCTAAACAAGCTCATTGTTAATAAACTAACTTACCAACTTCTCTATGTATATGCAAAGCAGTGTTAAAGAACTGGCTTAGATTCCTGCATTTTCACTTCCTGTTAGGGGTCAAGCCATAGCCCTTCTGAGACCAGGTTTTTAAAATCAGCAAATGTTAATTAGAATCTTGCCCCTTCCCTCTTCTAGAGCTCTCAGAAATATTAAATGGCATACCATTAATGAGAAGAGCTAGTAAATAAACTACAAAATATTATTATCATTCCTGTGGAAATAGTGATTTCGGGGGCGGGGGGGGTGTGTGTTTGTTTTTGATGGTACTGGGGGTTGAACCCAGGGGTGTTCTACTACTGAGCTACATTCCCTGCCCCCGCCTTTTCTAAATATTTTTTAGTTATACATGGACACAAGATCTTTATTTTGTTTATTTATTTTTATATGGTACTCAGGATCAAACTCAGTGCCTTACACGTTCGAGGCAAGCACTCGACCACTGAGCTACAACCCCAGCCCCTTCCCTGCCCCTTTTTAATTTTATTCTGAGACAGGGTCTCATGGAGTTGCCAAGGCTAGCCTCAAACTGTGATCCTCCTGCCTCTGCCTCCCAACTCACTAGGATTATAATCATGCACCAACATGCACAGAGGGAAATAGTTCTTTTTTAATGCAGGTATACACACAGAAAATACAACGTGGATCCTTATTCCTTGGTCTTAATTAATTTGTCTTTACCTAATTGAAGCTAAGAATAACCCTGAGGCAGTACTCTTTTCTTTTCTACCAGTTCAAGAAAGAGAGAAATGTTGCTGGCAAATGTAAGCACAAAATCCATATCCTATAGGACACAACCTAAGTAACACAGATGACTTCCCACAAAGAGGCAGAATGGCTCATTGCCAAGCCCTAGATCAGGGTGAAGAGATTTGGGGGGCATTAGTTCCATAAGCTTGGCCTGGTCACTTCCCTCTCTTTTATCAATAACTGTTTGGGATCAATGGTCTTCACCATCCATTACAACCAAGTTTCATCATTCTGGGAATAAAAAGCTAAAATAACAAAGTGTGGTCACTGGACAGTCATTTACATTACATACCTTTGAAGAAGTTAAATGTTCAACAGTGGTATATTAATAATAAATTATCAAACCATACAACAAAATATCATGGAATCATTTCAATAATGTTTACAAGGAGTTCTAATTTCATAAGAAATATTTATACATTTTTAAACAGACAAAAGAACACAAAATAGTATACATAGCTGGGAATGGTGGTACATGACTATTATCCCAGAAACTCCACAGGCTTGGGCAAGAAGATCACAAATTCAAAAATCAAAAGGTCTGGGGATAGATCAGTGACAGACCTCTTGCCTGGCAAACATGAGGCCCTGGCTTTAATACTGCCCCCCCAACCCCCTGCTGCCAAAGAGAAAAAAAGAAATGTAAGATATCTGAGAGGGTTGTTTTATTTTTGGACCTGGGGATTGAACCCAGGGCTTACTGCATGTTAGGTATGCCCCCAGTCACTCTGAGAGGGTTTCGAAACCAGGGTTCAGCAAACAATACATAGCCTGTAGATCAAATAAAGCCCATATCCTGTTTGTTTTTGTTGTTGTTGTTTGTTTGTTCTTTGTAGTTGCAGATGGACAGTATGTATTTATTTTGTTAACTTTTTATGGGGTGCTAAGAATTGAACCCAGTGCCTCACATATGCCAGCTAAGCACTTTAGCACAGAGCCACAACCCCAGCCCATAGTTCTTTAATTTAAAAGGAATTTCTGGGCTGCAGGTATAGCCCACGGCAAAACACTTGCCTAGCATGCATGAGGCTCTGGGTTCAATCTCTAGTACCACAAAAAAAAAAAAAAAAAAAAAACAGGAGGATTTCAAAAAAAAATAGAAGATTTTCATTACAAATTGAAATACAGAAATAATTTTAACCAACATAGAGCACTGCAATATACTTACAAAGGCAACAAATCAGGAACTACTATCCTAGTCACTATTATATCCCTAAACCTGTTTTCTAATCTGTAAAATGAGGTTTGATTAAATATATTCATCTAAGGCTGGGCATGCTGGCACATGCCTGTAATCCCAGGGCCTTAGGAGGCTGAGGCAGGAGAATTGTATGTTCAAAGCAACTTAGTGAGACCCTAAGCAACTCAGTGACACCTGTCTCTAAACAAAATATTAAAAAGGGCTGGGATATGGCTCAGGGGTTAAGCATCCCTGGGTTTAATCCAGGGTAAATAATAATAAAATAATAATAATAATAATAATTAGATAGATCAGATCTTAGGTTTTTTCCAGCTCTAATATATATAAGTCTAAAACTCCTTTGCTACAGAAAACCAGGGCTTCAGCAACTTCTACCACTAATCTTAAAACTACTATCATAACTTTTATGTAATAAAATACAAAAACTACTATCATACCCGTGTAATAAAATACAAAAGAGCTTAATGCATTAAGCTCTTTTGTATTTTATTACACGGGTATCCATGTGCCTCAAGTACCTTATGTAGCCCAGTTCTTGCACTAGATCCTACTTCTGTTTACTTACTGGTAGGACAAAAGTGATTTAATACCTACCTGATGCCAGCAAATTCCACCTTCTGGGTGATATAGGCACATGTGCTGACCTAAAGGAAAAAAGAGAAAGAGATTCAACCTGTCAAGGCCATGCAAACAAGATCTCCTGGCTTTCTAATTTTTCCTAACAATTCAAAGTGTAATCAACATGGAAGTAATAGATTTACCCCACAGGACACCATGTTGGCACAAGTATAATAAATTCTTAAAGAGTTTGGCAAGTATACACCAGCATTATTCTGCTAGGCTATTCAGTGTTAAATATGTTGGGGTTCTTTCTTTTTTTAAATACCCTTCAAAGTCTAATTATAGGATAAATTCAGATGTATATCAGACCATATATTTTGTAAAATGCTCTTTATTTTTTTTTTAAATTAGATTGCTAATGACAGAATTTGTTTATTTAGTTTTATTTTTTGTAGTGCTGGAGATTGAACCCAGGTCTTCAAGCATGCTAAGCAACCTCTACCACTGAGCTACATGGCCAATCCTTAAAATGTTTTATTGTTGTTGATGCACTGGGGATTGAAACCAGGTGGGCTTAACCACATCCCCAGTCCTTTTTATTTTTTATTTTGAGAAGGGTATTATTTTGTGTAGACTAGCTAAATTGCCGAGGTTGACCTCAAACTTGCAATTCTCTCACCTCAGCCTCCTGAGTAGCTGGGATTACAGGTGTGTCATCACATCCAGATAAAATACTCTTGATTAAAAAGTTTTATTTGTAGGGGCTGGGATTGTGGCTCAGTGGTAGAGCTCTTGCCTAGCATGTGTGAGGAACTGGGTTCGATTCTCAGCACCACATAAAAATAAAGGTCCAACAACAACTAATAAAATATTTTTTTTAAAAATTTATTTGTAAATTATCCATTTTTGTTTATAGTATACCTGACTGATGTGATAAAAATTCATTGTCTTACCATAAAGTCTTGATGTTCAACACAAGGAAAGCAGATATTGTAAAGCATATTCTGAATTTTAAAATTGCAAAACAAAGCCACCAAGTTTAAATTAAAAAAGGAAAAAAGGTTAGGAAGTATAGGCAATAATAAAAACAATATTAATAAGTGATCAGTTTGACATATATACTTCACAAATTTACACAGATATCTACATGTAAATAATTTTGTTGTTGTTGTTTTGAGGTACAGAGGTTTGAGCCCACAGGTGCTATACCACTGAGGTATATATCTGGAATGTTTTTATTTTTAATTTCAAGACAGGCTCCAGCTAAGTTGTCCAGGCTGGTAGTGAACTTGGTACTGCTGCCTCAGCCTCTCAAATTACTGAGATTAAGATTATAGGTATGCACAGCACCAAGCTATATATACATTTAAATATATACAGATGCTAGATGCCATGGCACATTCCTGTAATCCCAAGTACTCAGGCAGGAAAATCTCAAGGTCAACCTCAACAACTTAGCCAGACCCCTGTCTCAAAAATAAAAAGGTCTGGAGATATAGCTCAGCGGTACCTCACCCCTGGGTTCAATCCCTAGTATTACAAATTTATTAATTAAATACAGCACAGTTTCTCTTCCTCTCTCTCTCTCTCTCTCTCTCTCTCTCTCCCCCTCTCTCAAACACAACACACCACAGTTTCTCTCTCTCTCTCTCTCCTGGGTTCAATCCCTAGTAACACAAATTAATTAATTAAAGCACAGTCTCTCTCTCTCTCTCTCTCTCTCATAGGCTGGGTATTGAACCCAGTGCTTCAAGCATGCTAGGCAATCCTCTTTATAACTAAGCCACACGCCCAGCCCTATTTCTCACTTTATCTTGCATTTTTAGGAAATGGAAACTTCCCTCACCAAATAAAAATATAAACAAAGACTTTTCTTCCAAAAAATACACATTGCATGGAAATTCTACTTATATTTGTCATTTCATAATACACAAAAACTCCATTAGAAGAGTGTTCAGTACCCAGTCACAATTTTGATGAATAGATCATTTTAAATGGAAAAAGGTCATCAAAAATCAGCCAGTAGCATACACCTGTAATCCTAGCAGCTCAGGAGGCTGAGGCAGGAGGATCACAAGTTCAAAGCCAGCTTTAACAACTTAGCAAGGCTCTAAGCAACTCAGTGAGACCCTGTCTCTAAATAAAACATAAAAGGACTGGGGATGTGGCTCAGTGGTTAAGTGCCCTTAGGTTCAATTCCCAGTATCAAATAAATAAATAAATAAATAGGGTGGAGGATGTGTAGCTCAGTGGTCCAGTGCTTGTCAAGCCTGTGTAAGGCCTTGGTTTCAATACCCAACACCTCTAAAATAAATAAATAAATAAAAACTAGACACAGTGGCACATGCCTGTAATCCATGCTTGTAATAGGATAAATTCAGATGTATATCAGACCATATATTTTGTAAAATGCTCTTGATTTTTTTTTAAATTAGATTGCTAATGACAAGTTTTGTTTGTTTATTTAGTTTTATTTTTTTGTAGTGCTGGAGAAGGGCACAAAGGCAAAAGGATCACAAGTTCCAGGCTGGCATCAGCAACTTAGCAAGGCTTTAAGCAACTTATAAGACCCTATCTCATAATAAACAGGCTGGAGATACAGCTCACTGGTAAAGCACCCCTGGGTTCAATCCTCAGTACCAAAATAAATAAATAAATAGGGCCTGGAGTGGTGGAGCAGGCCTATAATCCCAACTACTAGGAAGGCAGAGGCAGGAAGATCAAGTTCAAGGCCAGCCTCAACAATTTATTGACATCCTGTCTAAAAATGGAAAAGAAAAAGGCCTATGAATGTAGCTCAGTGGTAAAGTGCCCCTGGATTCAATCAAAAGAAAGAAGTAGGTCTAGGGGTGTAGCTTAGTGAGAACTTGCCTCACATGCATAAGGGTCCTGGGTTCAATTCCCAACACCACAAAAATAAGTAAATAAGGAAAATGGCAGGAGGGTACAGCAAAAATCAGTACAGGACTGGGGATGTAGCTCAGTTGGTAGAGTGCTTACCTCACATGCACAAGGTACTCCCTAGCACCATAGCACCACACACACACACACACACACACACACACACAAAGCAGCACAACCTGGAAGCCAGAAGATCTAGTTCTATAATTTCCCATTCAAGCCTAAAATGTAAAGTAAACATCTGTAACAATAAACAAAAACAAATCTCAAAAACAACTACAAAGAGAGTTGAAGATATGACAAGATGTTTATAGTAATTGTCTGCAGATGCTAGAAGCAAAAATGATTCTATATTCTTCTCCCTAAAAGATCTTATAAATCTCTATGATAAAGAAGAATTATTTATATAATGGAATAAGAGACTTTTTTTTAAATCACATCTTACCAAACTTTTCTTTAGTCGCCACATATCCCCTCGGCCAATGTACTGATCCTTAAAAGTTAATTCCACTAGGTCAAGGGTCACATCCTAAAACAAATAATCAAACATACCTCTCTGCATTAGTTTGCCACACTTTATAATAATAAGATAATGCTCACTCATCATGAGAAATACACTTTTGCAAGAAAGAAAATTATTGAAAGATCATCCTAAATAGCAGAATCCCGACAAACAGAATTTTATACACCAAAGGTTGTTAAGTACAGACGATAAGTCTCCAACAGATCCTATAGCACTTATCACATTTAGTGAAGAGTAACAAAGTACTAATTTTGTGTTTTAGTCTATTTGCTATTTTAGTTTGCTTGTGGTTTGTGTTTTTGAGACAGGGTCTCACTATGTTGCCCAGACTGGTCTTGAACTCGAAGGCTCAAGTGATCCTCCCACCTTAGCCACCTGAGTAACCAGAACTATAGGTGCACACCATCATGCCCTGTGTTTAATCTTGAATTCTACCATACAAATATAACATTGAACTTTATTTTTCTATATGTCAATAATACCTTTCAACAATGTTTTTTACCTATTATAGCATTTCAAGAAAAAAATTAGAAATAAAGAAATTTTAGTAATTTAACAGAGAATTACACATACATCTTCACACATAGAATCGTACTAGAACAAACTTTGAAAAGCACAGAGGGAATTTAAATGAAATCTAGATACCACCTATAATCTTTATTTCTTTTTTGTGGAGGAGGGGGGTGCTGGGGATCAAACCCAGGGCCTCACGCATGCCAGGCAAGCGTTCTACCACTGAGCCACATCCCCAGCCCACCACCTATAATCTAAATGACCTATATATATAATCACATATTTAATTATCTAACACTATACTTAAGTAACTCATTATTTCTTTAATGACTTAGACTTGGAGAAAGGGTACTAATCATTCTAAAAAGATATTCAAGTCCAGAACACAGACATACTTTAGGGTCTACAACATTCACGTATACATCTTGATAAGGTCTTAGCCGGAACACTTGAGTCACAGTCTGGTCCACACTGATAGTTTCTGAAACAGAAAAAAAATCTGGATTAGAGAACACATTTTGAAAAAACAGGTAAACATATTCTAACCTATAAATATGGAGATATTAAAAAAGCAACACAACTGATAACCTGCCTTAGGGAAGACATGTTCTCTGCCTTCGAGGAACTTAAAAAGAAACAACATTGGGCTGGAGGTATAACTTAGTGGTAGAACATGTACTTAGCATACTGAACCCCTAAATTTAATCCCCAGCACATAAAAATAGCAATACAGCAAAATAAGAACGTTCAAAGACCTATTAGAAATTCATTTAAAAAAAAAAAAGTTTTTCTTGTTCAGAATGAAGGTAATAATGTAGTTCAGGAAGTTTTCAATGAGCCCTAAAGCTTGATAAATAAGAAATATAACAGGTGGCAGAAGATGGGGTAAGGGTATGAAGGAAAGTCTTAAGAAGACACTCCAGGGGCTGGGGATGTGGCTCAAGTGGTAGCACACTCGCCTAGCATGCGAGAGGCACTGGGTTCGATTCTCAGCACCACATTAAATAAAATAAAGATATTATGTCCACCTAAAAAAAAACTAAAAAATAAATATTAAAAAAAAAAAGAACAAGACACACCAGGGTTTTTTGTTTTGTTTTGTTTTTGATTTTTTTCAGTCCTAGGGATCAAATTGAGGACCTTGCTTATAGTAAGTAAGTATTCTACCACTAACCTACATCCCTAGGCCAGAATTTTTTCCCATGAAATTTAAATATCAAATGGTTGAATATGAAAAGCTTATATCAAAGCCCTTTAGGAGAAATCACAAGGGTGTTTTGGTTTGTTTCTTTGAAGTACTATTTAAAGAATTATTTCCTATAAAGTAATATATGGGTTCCTTGGACAGCATGGCATAGCCATTAGAGGAAAAGGGAAAGAATTTAGATCCAGAGTGAGTAAGCAGTTGGGCATAGTGGTGCACATCTATAATCCCCATTATCTGGGAGGCTGAAGCAGGAGAATCACAAGTTCGAGACCTGTGTGGGCAACTTAGGAAGACCCTGGATCAAAATATATTTTTAAAAAGGGCTGGGAATGTAGCTCAGAAACAGAATCCTCCAGTTCAAGCACCCCCTCCCGCCCCCTCCCCCGCCACACACACACACACATTCCCTGTACAGAGTTTGGAAAAGTATTAGAACAATCATCAACATATGTTTCTTCCATGCCCCTACCTCACCCAGAGTTGCACTTAAATATTTTGTGGGTGGGGGGGAATATATATATATATATACACACACACACACACAAATATATATAAATAATATTTAGGAAACTATGCTTTAACAACATCTTTTTTTTTTTTTTTTGGTGGGAGGAATCAAATATAAAACTTCCCATAGTCAGATTAACTTTTCTCCTGACTCTAAATATTATAGTTTCTTCAGTGCCCTCACGTTGCTGACAGATGAGATTCATTGGCAATTTTGATAGGTGACAATTATTTAAAGAGGGAATAGAATTTGATAAGAAGAAAAGTACTCGCCCTCATGCCCTGAGATTAGAAGTCTATTAGTTTCTAAAATAGTAAATATAAAATTCTCAAAGAAGAGAGCTCAAGGGGCTGGAGTTGTGGCTCAGTGATAGAGCACTTGCCTAGCATGTGTGAGGCACTGGATTCAATCCTCAGCACCACATAAAAACAAATAAAATAAAGGTCCATTAACAACTAGTATTTTTAAAAAAAGAAGAGAGTTGTAATGTTTACCTTTTTGTAAATCCTCCTTAAGTGACTTGACTTGCAAAAGCAAAGGGCTAATAAAATAAAAAACAAAGATGTAAGAGACCATAAGCAGTAATTCCTCAGCTTTCTTCAACCCCCACAAAAGATAAACAAATCACTCTTGGACATACTATAACTTGTAGCACTATGAGAATTCCATTAGAAACAAAGAAACTGTACTTGCAGAAAAAGAAATGGAAAAGTGCAACATAATCTTTCAGAGATGTCATCTCAGCTTTAAAAACAGAAAGAGTGGACCACTTTAAAAAAAAAAAAAAAAAAGAAACAGGAGCTGCAGTGTGGCTCATTGGTAGAGCACTTGCTTAACATGTGTGAGGCACTGGGTTTAATTCTCAGCACTGTATATAAATAAATGAATAAAATAAAGGTCCATCAACATCTAAAAAATATTTAAAACACTAATGGTTGACCCAATCTCAAAGGACATTAGCATTTTAAAGTCAAACATCAATTGGAAGCAGCAGGCTGCCTGGTTTGCTTATCCTAGCAAGATGCTCACCTATATTCATCGTTGGGGTGAGCAATCTCCACAATGTCTCCAAGCTTGATGTGAGGAAACACTTTGGGGTTCACAACTAGCTCATCATCTGAAAGACAATTCAATCTTAAATAGAAAACAGAAGCTAGGTCTGTAACCCTAAGGCGAAGCATGTGCTTAGCAGTCATGAAGCCCTGAATTAAATCCCAGAAACCCACCCCAAAAAGTAAAAATAACAAGTAGAAAATGCACTCATAAATTTCTTTTTTTTTTTTTTTTTTGCACTATTGGGAACTGAATCCAGGACCTTGCACATGCAAGACAAGTGCTCTACCACTATGCTACTTTTCTAGCCCTTTTTTATTATGAGAGAGGGTCTCGCTAAGTTGCCATGTAGCCTTGAACTGATGATCCTTCTGCCTAAGCTTCCTTTTTTTTTTAAAGAGAGAGTGAGAGAGCACAGAGAGAGAGAGAGAGAGAGAGAGAATTTTTTAATATTTATTTTTTAGTTTTCAACGGACACAACATCTTTGTATGTGGTGCTGAGGATCGAACCCAGGCCGCACGCATGCCAGGCGAGCATGCTACCGCTTGAGCCACATCTCCAGCCCCCCTAAGCTTCCTGAGTAGCTGGAATGACAGGAGTCTGATACCATATGCTATGGGGTTTTTGTTTTTGTGGGACTGTGTATTAAACTATTAAACTCAGGGCCTCATTCATACTAGGCAAGTGCTCTACCATAGAGCTATACCTCCAGACACTAAGATTATCTTTTTGTTGTTGTTGTTTTCCTACCAGGGGTTAAATTCAGGGGCACTTAATCACTGAGCCATGTCCCCAGCCCTTTTTATTTTCTACTTTGAGGCAGGATCTCATTAAGTTGCTGGGAGCCCAAGTTGCTGAGACTGGCTGTGAACTTGTCATCCTCCTGCCTCTGCCCCCTGAGCCACTGGGATTACAGTCATACACCACCATGCCTAGCTATTTAAAATATTTTTATTAGTTCATTTTAGTTATACATAATATTATGATTCATTTGACAATTTACAAGCACAGAATATAATTTGCTCCAATTTATCCCAGTACTTCCCCCTTTCCCTTCCCTCCTCCTTCCCCGTTTCCTTTCTCTACTCTAGTGATATTTCATCTACTTATTTATAGTTTTTTAAAATTATTACTTTATGGCTATAAAGGTGAATTCACTGTGGTATAATCATATGTGTAAGTAGGAAAGTTCGGTCAGACTCATCCCTTTGCCACTCCCTCCTTCCACCTCCCTCCCCCTCACTCCATTTCCTCTACTCCACTAATTTATTTTCATAAAATCACAGCCCCACCCCATCTTTTTTTGTCCTTATTTTAATCTAGCTTCAACACATCCGAGAAAACATTTGACCCCTGACAGAATTTCTGAGTCTCGCTTATTTCACTTAACATGATATTCTCCAGTTCCATCCATTTACCAGCAAATGCCTAATTTCATTATTCCTTATAGCTGAGTAAAACTCCATTGTGTATATGTACCACATTTTCTTTATCCATTCCTCTGTTGATGGGCATACAGGTTGGTTCCATAGCTTGGCTATTGTAAATTGTGCTGCTTATAAGCACTGATGTGGCTGCATACCTACAGTATGCTGATTTTAGATGTTTTGGATATGTATCAAGGAGTGGGACAGCAGGGTTATATTATGGTTCCATTTCCAGTTTTTTGAGGAATCTCCATACTGTTTTCCAGAGTGGTTGTACTAATTTGCAGTCCCACCAATGGTTTTATTTTAGGAAGAAGATAATCACCTTTATTTATGCTAATATTTTTAAAAAGTACATTTCACATTTCAAATATAACCCTACTCAATAAAATTCAGCCTTGCTGGGGATATAGCTCAGTGGCACTGCAACATTTGCCCAGCACTTGAAAGCCCTGGGTTCCAGTTCCAGTAAGGTGGCAGATGGAAGAGATTCAGTCTAATGAAGTGAATGAAACATTGGGTTAATCCCAAATTTACTTGATAAAACATTTCCATTGACAGTTTTTTGCCAAATCTCTGTGACGCCTCCTCCTAATTTCCATAGTCTGAATTAAGTTCCATGAGCACATATTTTGTTTTGTTTAGTTTCCTTTTTTCTATGTTTCTCATTAAACTTAAAAAAGACCTTGTCATACTCATAATCTTTATGTTTGGCATAAGTATATGCCTAATAAATATATATTGGTTGTATATTTATAATTTTCAGTATGTTACCTAGCCACATGTCTTATGTACATAAAAAAGTAGATTTATATACATTGTATATGTTATTCACACTATATCCTTGTGTTATTCCCCATGCCAAAATTATTTTTGTTGTCTATTTAGTATCTATCTACTCTAAAAACGTTTAGGCAACACCAACAGCACACAAAGTATAGTATTGATAATAGTCTGTACATTTTAGCAGAAATTGTGTTTTAAATATAGCCATGCCTGTGTCTGGTCCATTACATCATTTAAGTAAAGACTCAAAACATCAGATATAAAAACTACTATTTTCCCTTTTTGGCAGTCTCTACCCTCTAACGGCTTATACATATTTAATATAGGAATAAATGCATACTAAAATATACATTAGAGGTTGGGGTTGTGGCTCAGTGATAGAGTGCTTGCTAGAGTGCTTGCTTCACATGTATTAGGCACTGGGTTAGATTCTCATCACAGCATATACATAAATTAATAAAATAAAGGTCAATCAACATTTTAAAGAAATATATATTATATCTATATATATATATATATATATATAGAGAGAGAGAGAGAGAGAGAGAGAAAGAGCGCGTGTGAGCGAGAGAGAGAGAGATTTTTTTTAAATTTCTTTTCTAAATTTTTTTCTTCTATACTTCCAAGCATGGAGATATAGTTCAGTGGTAGAGCACTTGCTACATGTGTGAGGCCCTGGTTTTGATCTCTGCCATATATATATATATATATATATATATAAAACTTAAAATACATCCAAGTGCTATGGCTCATTTATACATTCTCAGCTACTCAGAAAGGCTGAGGCAAGAGGATTGCAAATTCAAGGCTAATCTCAGCAACTTAGTGAGACCTGTCTCAAAATAAAAAATAAACAAAGAGCTGAGAATGAGGATATAGTTCAGTGGTAGAGCACACCTAACATGTGGAAGCACCTGGATTCAATTCTCAGTACAGAAAAAAAGGGGAGGGGGTTAAAAAAAACAGACTTAATATGTCATTAATTGCAAATTCTGAAGTAAATAATGTTGTTAAGATGTAAGGGAAAATAATTCCTTTACAAAAGAAAAAGAATATCATACTACCAAGTGCCCTACTTTTCTGCAGATTTATAAAGTCAAGGCTCTAAGAAAAACTACTTTAAAGAAAGCCCTTGAAGGCTGGGACTGTAGCTCAATAGTAGAGCACTAGCCTAGCATGTGTGAGGCACTGGGTTGGATCTTCAGCACCATATAAAAATAAATAAGAAAAATATTGTGTTCATCTATACTTAAAAAAGAAGAAGAAGAAGAAGAAAGAAAGAAAGCCCTTGAACTTGAAGATAAGGTAAACTAGAGGCTTACCTGAGATGAATATGGAAAGTCAGAGGCAGAGCTATTATGCAGATTATGCTTTAGTGAAGCTAACATGCTGCATCCTGTCCCTTTTTATGCCAAGGAGACAGGCAAACTTTCATGCTTTGATCATACCTGTTCTAAACACATCTATGCAAGGTCTCACTGACTCTGAACACTAAAATACCATTTTAGTTTCTCTTATCTGCCAAACAAGTGTAGGCTGGAATTTTAAATATACAATAAATTTGTAATAAGCAACACAATTCAACAAATGAATGAAAATAAACTGGCAATATTCACAATGTTCATTAAAAGCCTGAATGAAAATACTTTTAGAAAGGGCTTGTGGTTTATAAGTCCTATCATACTTCTTATTCCTGCTTTACTCAGGAAAGTTGCCTGTTTAGCCTCAACTGTCACATGAGTTGATGCGTAATTTTCCAGTCACTGGACACATCAGAATTTCAGCCAACTTGCACAACCCCAAAGACCAATCAATACTGACCACTGCCCCCAAAGCCCTTCTTGTGGATGACCAGTTTGTAGACCTTTGTTGTTCTCATCTTGTCCTTTGGTTTCCTTCAGCTGTTCCAATCTTGGAGCAGAGAAGTCATCTTGCGTCCCTGCCATTGAAACACAAACAAGAAGGCTAGAATGTCAGACTTTCCTTGCACTCCTCTTCTGATTTTGGTGTTACTCAGTTGAGAGGAAGCGCCAAACACAAGATGAAATCACTCCGCCAATCACAAAGAGAGGGAAAACAATCCAGAATCTAAGAATTAAGGGTAATTGGGGGCCGGGTCTTGTCAAACCTCTAAAAAGATATTCTATCTATCGCATCCTCAAAGAGGACACTTGCAGTAAATGGGACATTCATTACCTGGTCTCTATCTACCAAAAATACCCGAATAATACAGAAATCTTAAAAGAGGTTAACCTACTCCATTTGTAGACAAAACATAAGGGACTTGCCCAAGGTCACTCAGACACTTTGGAGCACTCCCACAATTTGCGTTCACCCAACAAAGTCCTGGGCAAGGCAAGTATGAATAAGAGGAAAGCAGGGGGTTCCATCAGTACGAACTCTCAGCGGACCCTTCCGCTGAGGCCGCTGAGACTCAGAGAGGGAGCAAGACTTGTCCAAGGTGACAAAGCAGGTTGGGGACCGAGTCGGGACTCGAACCGGGGCCAAGACCCCCTCCCTCGGGCCCCAGCTCAGAGTGGGCAGTTCCACTCACCTGCAGCTCCGGAACCCCTTCCCACCTCAGGCCGGAGCCCCGAGGGCCGGACCCTCAGTAAGTACCCGCGCCTCCCCAGAACACCCCACGTAACCCCGTACAGCCCACAGGCTTCCCACCCCCGAGTTCTAGGAACCGCCAGGCCCTACACAGCCACGGAGAGCTCACCTGAGAACCCGCGCCGCTCCCGTAGCTCCGCCCAGGGGCACCGCCCCCTTCCCGCCCCCGCGTGCCGGGCCGCTCTCGCCAGGCCTCCTCCTCGTCTCGGTGACCGCGCCACTTCCTCATCCGGGGCTCGCGCCAACGGTGGGGCGTCTCCTGCAGCCTCAGCTTCTGCCTCTGACCACTTCTCAGCGTTTCTCAGCCACTAGCCAAACCCTTTGCTTGCCTTGAGAAGGAAATGCGAAAATAGAGTAGTACCCAGGATCCTAGTTTTACACTTAGTGATCAGCAGCAGGGGAAACTGGGAGAGTGTCCCCAAGCTAAACTTCCTTGCATATAAACGAGGCTAATTACTCTCTCCTGCCCACCCCCCAGGGCTTCTGAGAGGTGTGAAAGGAAATTTCTGGGAGAAACTTTGGAAAATACAAAGGGCCGAGTGTATAAGACAGTGTAAAGGTTCCTATTAGCAAGTATCCATTTGGGGGATGTTTACAAACACCCCAAGACTTTCTGTGCTCCTCTGGCTATTAATAACAAAGTAGTGGCTGCCCATAACTTAATATCCTCATGTAGTTGTATGCCTAGTAGGTGGTAGATACTATTGTACTTCACAGACAGAGACTGAGGCTGAAAGACAAACTCCTCGGAAGGATAGATCCAGACCCCACAGAGTCCAGCATGACACATAAACACCCATAGCTCTGTCCAAATTCCCATCTGATTTGGACATTGGTCTTCCCTCAAGATGATAGAAGACAGAAGTGGAAGGTGGGAAAAAGAGGTTAAGGGAATAATTCTATAAAATAGCCCTTCTGTGGTGTCCCCACATTCTTATTTCTAAGAAGCAATTTATGTTCAGCCCTGCCTGTATTAAGTGGATGGGATATGTCACATTCCTCAGGAAACTACCTGTTATCCGCAGGAGAACTGCAGGCCCAAAATAATGTTGATAAGAGGAACCCAAGTTACCCTGAAGGGGGAAACTTTTGTGACCTTTTACACAGACTAGATGTGGTAACTTGGGTAAATAAGGAAAATTCCTCTTAACCATAAACTCTTTAAGAATTGTTGGCTGAGAATCCAATTAGAAGGCTCAGGATATAGCTCAGTTGGTGGTGTGCTTGTCTCACATGCAAAAGGCCCTAGATTCAATCTCAGACCGCCCCCGCCCCCCCAAAAAAAATTCAAGAATCCAATTAGAGAGGCCAGGGTTGTGGCTCAGTGGTAGAGCCATTTGCCTTGCCTGCATGAAGCTGGTTCAATCCCTGGCACCACATAAAAATAAAAACAAAGGTATTATGTCCATCTACAACTAAAAAATACGTATGTTTTAAAAGAAAAAAGAAAAAAAATCCAATTAGAGGGGCTGGGGTTGTAGCTCAGTGGTAGAGTGCTTACCTCACATGTGTGAGGCACTGGGTTCCATCCTCTGTACCACATAAAAATAAAGATAGTTAAAAAAAAAAATCCAATTAGAGTTGGTCAGCATAGGCCAAAATGACCTAAAGTTGTCTTGACAGTGGGGATGTGAAAGTCTGATGTCATCCTGCTGTCAGTCAAAACTCAAGAGGTAGACGTGAGTGGGACCCTCTGGAAACTTCTCTGGCATCCCCAATAAAGCTGGCATGCAGGACACACATGCTGTCCCTAAGAGGACCCTCTCTCCCCCTTAAGAGTGTCCCCTTTCTCTTTTCCTGTCCCTTCAATAAATTCATGCCTGTTACTCTAGACAATATTTCTGAAATCTTTCTAACTTGATCTCAAGGATGGTGTTTGAAGCTGATGTCTTGGCATGGCTCAGAAGGCTGAAGTAGGAGGGTTTCAAGTTCAAATCCAGCCTCAGCAACTTAGCAAGGCTCTTAACAACTCAATGAGACTCTGTCTCCAAATAAAATTCAATAAAGGACTGGGGAGAGGCTCAATGTTTGAGTGCCCCTGGGTTCAATCCCCAGTACCAAAAAAAAAAAAAAAAAAGAAAAAGAATGGGTTTTTGAAGGTGGCCTTTGTACTACCTCAGTTTCCCAGAACACCACAGTGCTATAACAAAGAGAGAGCACGCCAGAAACCAGGTGAGGTGACTCACTCCTGTAATCCTAGCAGCTCAGGAGAATCTCAATTTTGAGGCCAGCCTCAGCAACTTAGTAAGGCCTTGTACAACTTAGTGCAACCCTGTCTCAAAAAAACGTAAAGGGATGTGGCTCAGTGGTAAGCGCTTGTGGTTTCAATTACCAGTACCAAAAAGAAGGAGAAGGAGAAGAAGAAAAAGAGAGAAAAACAGAGCTGAGTGGGCTGTGTCCTCAGGGCTCCTGACAAGTTGCAAACACTGCTGCTGCCAATCTACCACTGTAGTCTACTAATCTACTTCTTTTTTTTTCTTTCTTTTTTTTTTTTTTACTTTATAGTGCTGGGGATTGAAGTCAGAGCTTATAGCTAGGCGAGCACTCTACCACTGAGCTACACCCCCAGCCCTTGGTTCTCTATTTCTCTAAACTGGACATCTGCAACTATAGAACACTGACTGCTTCCATTCTGGTAGCTGGAGAGATTTCTTAATAACTGGAATGTGGTTTTAGGTCATATCATTCCCATGTTTCCAATCACAGTGACCACTAAATCTAAATAGCATTCCTGCCTCCAATTACAGCATTCCAATTTTATTTCCTCACAGCTTTAACACAAGCTCTACCAGTTTCCTATGATTTTGAGAAAATATATGAATGTTGAAGAAAAAGAAAACTATAGTTGGGGCTTAGAAGTAGGCCAAGAGGACCCCTAGAGCAAGACAAGCAAGAACTTCCTTCAATGTACTTTTGCTTAAAATTCAGTATAAGTTGAGTAATTTAACTATTTTTTAAGTAATCATAAAAACTTTCCTCCTCCTCCTTTTCTCTGAGGACAGAGTCTCACTGTGTTGATGAGGCTAGCCTCAAACTCCCAGGCTCAAATGATCCTTCTGCCTCAGCTTCTCTAGTAACTGAGGCTATAGGTGCACTCTTTTTTTTTTTAAAGAAAGAGTGAGAGAGAGAATTTTCTAATATTTATTTTTTAGTTTTCAGTGGACACAACATCTTTGTTTGTATGTGGTGCTGAGGATCGAACCCAGGCCGCACGCATGCCAGGCGAGGGCATTACCGCTTGAGCCACATCCCCAGCCCTATAGGTGCACTCTTGTGAAAGAAAAACAGGGAGCTGGGGCTGTATCTCAGTGGTAGAGCACTTGCCTAGCATGTGTGAGGCCCTGGGTTTGATCCTCAGCACCATGTAAAAAATTAATTAATTAATTAATTAATTAAAGGTATTGTGAAAAAAATAGAATCTTTTTTAAAAAAAGAAGAAGAAAAGAAAAATGGAGCTGGGTATGTAGTCAGTAATAGAGTATTTGCCTAGCAAGGTTGAGGTCCTGGGTTAGACACCTGGCTGCTCAAAGAAAAAGAAAAGAAAAGCCATCCATAATCATGTAGAGGGCAACAGTTAAACAAATTTTCAAGGATAAAATGTTATATATAGGCAGACCTAGAGGCTCATGTGACAGACCTAACCTGATCTTTTCTTAAAATTGGGCATCTTGCCACAAAGCCATGAAAAGCTAATTTCAGCTTTACTATAAATTACTGCAAATTCTGAACCTGCTTGGAATGCCTGCCCGTGCCTTGAACTCACCCATGCCTGGCTCTCTGACCAGATAGCAGCCCTCTCTGAAACTTTAGTGACGCCTCACAAATCTTGGCCTTCCCTGGCCAGACAACAATCCTCTCTGAGGCTCTAATGGTCCTCATAAATTCTGATGTTGGGGCCAGCAAAAAAATGTAAACTACCATTAGTGTGATGCTTGTCAGAGTTCTGTTATCTGTAACCCCCCTTTGTGTAACTTTCTGGGCTATAAAGCTGGGCTGTAGGAAAGCTGGGGTGCTGTCTTGTTCCTGCCGTTTTGGGAGGGAGAGGCAGCCCGGCCGGTCCAAATAATAAGCTTGCTTTAATTTGATTTTAATTGGAGTCAGTGGTCTTTTCTTGCGTCCTGGTCTAACACATGCTATAATCCCAGCTACTTGAGAGGCTGAAGTAGGAGGATCTCAAGTTTAAGTCAACCTCAGAAATTTAGCTAGACCCTGTCTCAAAATAAAAAAATAAAAAAGGCTGAAGACGTAGCTCAGTGGCAAAGCACTCATGACTTCAATCTCCAGTACAAAAAAAAGAGAAAAAAAAAAAAACAACCAGTTACATGAAACAGAAATGATTACATGTTTAAATGTTTACAGGTTCCACCCAGAGACATCCCCAACACTGTTTTCTGTCTTAACAAACAAGTGGTTGGAGAAAAGTCCTCCTTGTCAGAGGAAACTAACTTAATTTTCTCTTCTTGGCCTTCAGGAGAATGAGATTCCTTCTCCTGAGAGATGTCCCTAGTTGGTGTCATATCTTTTTTTTTTTTTAATTGTTGATAGACCTTTATTTTTATTTATTTATACACGGTGCTGAGAATTGAACCCAGTGCTCACACATGCCAAGCAAGTGCACTACCACTGAGCCCCATCCTCAGCCCCTGGTGTCATATCTTAGAAATGAAAAACATCATTTTTGAATGTGGCAATTCTCCTTTAAAATAAACAAACAAACAAAAATCGAAAACATTTAAGTTTGTGGCCCAGCGGTTGAGTGTTCCTGGGTTCAATCCCCAGTACCCCCCAAAAAAATAGTTTGGAGGGGTCCTTTGCACTGCCTCAGTTTCAAGTCAAGGTTAGGGAGGACAGAGCAGATTGCCCCCAGAGGAGAGATCTTTCAGCCTTGGTTCTATAATCACTGTGCTACAATGATTTGAACATTGCCTGTTTTGTTTTGTTGTTTTGTTATGTGTCCTTGCACAAGATACTTCTTTTTTCAAATTTCTCCCTGTCAAATGAGAATAAAAAGTACATATCCTTCCTCCTTTACGAGATGTCTAAGGGCTACATGAGGTGAGGAACATATTACATTAGGTTTTTTAAAATTAAATGAATTGGGTTCAGTGTGTAATTTAGATAGAGCACGTGTCTAGCATGCACAGGCTCTGGGTTCAATTCCTACCACTGCAAAACAAAACAAAAACAATAAAATATTAAAAGTGATACA